AGCTCACGGGAATCTTCCGGCATCCCGGGCCACCCCCATCTGCTTCACTCATTTTTGGAAAAATAAACACCATCCACACCGAGAGCAAGAATTTACAATTATTAGCATTGTTTTTTCTTCTTCGAGCAAATGTTCATTACATGTGTGATGTTCTATGGATAGCTCATGGAATCTTGAGTACAACTACCCTTTCCAGCAGACGCAGGATTTTACTAGATTCTCTACCCAGATTCAGTTTGTGGAGACATTTTTTTCCCCCTCCCGGAGCTGGCTGATTGTGACCGCTGGCAAAGCCAGTTTCCTTTCCAGCTTTAAAAAGTGATCCGGAAACACATTGCGGAGGCAGCCTATGTCAGGTCAGTCCGGGGGAATCTGGGAGAACATATACTCAGCCCCTGCCCTTCTCTTTTGTGCCTCCCAGAGGAAACTGGATTTGCATGATGCCTGAGGGTGGCGCCATGATTATGGTAAGGTGGGTTCCTTGCGTGGCTTCGGGCAGTCTGGCTGTTATGTTCTCCCCACTCTCTGCATCCAAGGTATTGAGAAATGGAGCATAAAAGTGGGGAACATTAGGGAAAGAACAAAAGACATCAGCCCGTTGCTTAATAGTATCCATTTACGAAAGACACACTCAACAAAACAGACACAGGAACCCATAACAGGAATCCTTTAGACTTGAAATATGGAAAACAAGACTCAACCTTCAATTGGACCACACTGTATGCACATTTGATGTATATGCAAAAGTATGGCTTTAATGGCTTTAATAGAACTGAAAATCCGAAAGATGAGAGTTAATGTTGCTATGGAAACTTTTACATGTCTTGACTGCAGAACTCCTAGTTTAAATTTGCAAACTTAGTATCACATTAGCTTTTTTCACATTGGATTTCTGGTTGGTCTTTTAAGAAGATAAAAGGAGAAAAATTGCATGTCATACTAGTACTTCTTGTTATACTCATAGCCAGAGGAGAGGTGGCTTGTGATCATTTGACACAATTTTTTTTCTTTTTTGTCTGCACCGGAAACATCCTCAAAAGAGCTTACATAAGGGCTATGTGGGGTGAAGATTTTATAGTGAGGCATGATGAATTCGGTTCCAAATTTTTCAAAATTCGAATGAGTTCCTTTTCTCAGAATCAAGGGTTCAGAGGATGGATCGATATGAATCAGGGGGTTCATAGTTTTAAAATCCCAAGAGTTGCAGAGCTCAAAGTCCTGTAAAGAGCAGAGGAAGTTCTGGAACACGGCTCTCAAAGGCATGGTGATGCCTGAAGCTGGTGTTTCTTCGCAGCCACCACAGCCTGCACTCTGAAATCGGACCCCACGTGAGTAGGGGCCACACAGAAAGAGTGCGAAATGAAGAATTGTGGAGTAATGACTCAGAAAGCTTGAGTATCCCTTCCCTGCTCTCTCTTCATCATCTCTTCCCTCAGTGTCAGCCCCCTCACCTCAGCCATGGGGGCTCGCCCATAAGTTTGGCCAACTGGAAGGTTTGTAAGCTTTAGGGTCAGGTAGAACTGGATATAAAGGTGGCCCCATCATGGGGGCTGATTGGTTATCTCCTCTGAGCTTCAGTGGAGATACTACTCCTAAATGGAAGTAGTAATGCTCATGTCATGTGGATGTAAGACATGATTGGGATAACATATGCAAAGTACTGAGTACTTTCCCTGGAGGGCAGCAAGCCCTCAGTGATTTTTCTTTTCTCCAGTTGAAATGCACGTATCCTTGGCACCTTCAGGAGCATGAAGGGGCAAGCTCGGATCCACGTGGCATCCACTGAGGTCGTGTGGAGTGGATGTAAATTCCCTCCTCTTCTCCGATCCCCACTAGTATGTATTTTGATTGCTTTTACCTAAATTACACAGATAATCTACTTATGAAACTCATTCGCTTGTGCTGTGATGGTCTTGTCTTGTTCCCTACTATGTACTCAGGGTCTAGCAGAATAAATACTTGTTGGATGCGAGAGCGAGAGCAGAGTATGAGGCACATACGATTAGGGGGTGGCCCTATTTAAAAAATTAAAAATATATGAATGTAGAATCAGGTTCAGGACTTAGAAAGGGGCCCACACAAGTGTGGCACCCTAAAGCTAAAGCTTCATGGGCTTCACAGTAAATTTACCTTTGCCTGAAGAAGTGAACGTGGTCCTGAACTCATGAATGATCACCTGCCTTTTTGTGACCTTTTACCGTGTTGTTGCTTTGCTTTGGTCCTAGGACAATTTAGTTTAGGTCTGTTACTTGAGGGGTAGGCTAATGGTGGGAAGTCATTATATCCACAAGGTATGTATGCTGAGGGGGTGTGGATGAACAGACATGAGGCCATAGACTGTCACAAAAAAATTTAGAATCTGGCTTTCATCAATAACCTATGTATTTATCTGCTAGGGCTACTATAACAAAATACCACTGACTGGCTGGCTCCAACGACGGAAATGTATTTCTTGCAGTTCTGAAGGCTAGGAAGTCTAAGATCAAGGTACTGGCCAACTTGATTTCTGGTGAGGACCCTCTTCCTGGCTTTTAGATGGCCCCCTTCTCACTATGTCTTCATATGTCCTTACTTCAAGAGGGAGAGAGAGAGAGGAAGAGAGAGAGAGAGAGAGAGAGAGAGAGAGAGACCTCTTTCTTTTCCAGAAGGCCAACAGCCCTACTAAGTTAGGGCCCCACCCTTATGATCTCATTTAACTTTAATCACCTCCTAAAATATTATTCCCGAATACAATCCCACTGGAGGTTAGAGCTTCGCTTAAGAATTTTGTAGGGGGTGCGCCTGAGTGGCTTAGTCGGTTAAGCGTCCGACTTTTGCTTAGGTCATGATCTCACGGTTCGTGGGTTCGAGCCCTGCGTCGGGCTCTGTGCTGACTGCCAGCTCAGAGCCTGGAGACTGTTTCAGTCTGTGACTCCCTCTCTCTCTGACCCTCCCCTGCTCACGCTGTCTCTCTCTCTTTCTCGTAGAAATAAATAAAAAAACATTAAAAAAAAAAAAAGAATTTTGTAGGGAACACAATTTAGCCCATAGCACTTATCAGGCCAGCTTCTGGCTTCACCTTGGCTCTCAGTTGAGGGCTCACCTCTTTGGGCTCTAATATACTCATCAGATATGAGGATACACCAGAGCCAGGTGGGGGAGGATAGTCACCTCCAGGAGATAGAACCAAAATGGCACCTTGCCTAGAGCAGCAATCCCAACAGGCGTGTTGAGACCGTGTAGGATTTAGAAAGGAGATACCACGCTGGTCACGGATAAATGATTTCCTTGGTTCCTGACGAAACTTTGGTTCTTTCCCTTTCCTGCTCTTTGTCTTTCATGTTTTGCTCTTTTTTCTTCTTTCCTTCCTGTTTTCCTTCTCTTCCTTTCTCCTTCCATTTTCAATAGGATAGTAAGACACAGTGGTTCTCGGCCCTTTTAGTGATGGTTATCTGCTTTGATTTCCCCAAAATGAAAGGGTTGACGTATGAGTAAGGAGCAGGAGAGCAGAGGGGGCGGAATAGATGGGGGGCGGGGGAGGTGCGAGGTCGAGTGGTGTGAGTGTAAGACAAGACAAACAAGGGTGTCATGGCGGTGTGAGGCTGGAGGAGTGGGCGCCAGCACAGAGCGAGAAATTTCCCAAGTGATAACTCTGGGTCTCAAGTTTCTCATTAGTTTAAAAAAAAAAAGAGCCAGAGGAGAGGATCCCCGAGGTGCCCTAGATCTGTAATATTCCTTTCTACCTTCCCTTCCCGGGGAGTGGAATTGACAAACACAACCCTTAGTGTACCTTATAAGAAAATCATTATGCAAATTCAAAGTATTGCTCAAATTAATTCTAATGAGGTTCAAGGGGAAAAACAAGTAACAACCAAAACTCTTTAATAAAGTGTTCTAAAAAGAAAAAAAGAATTATCGCCCACTTCTGCACTTCCTGCTTTTGGCAGGGACTAGAAGTGGAAATCTGAAGACACTGTGAGACAGTCTGTTCTCATGGTATTTCTAGCTGAGAACAGGAAGGAGGGGAAATCTCAGATGAGTGAGAGAGCCTGTTTTTCAGTGATTAGCAGGCCAACGAAGTTTCACTGGGCAATCAAGCTTGACAGCACCTCTAAAAGTTTTACCTTTATTTGGTCAGCATCGCAGACCTTTCTGGCAGCACTGCCGCAGTCACCCAGACGCAACTATCCCCTGTCACCATGACTGGCTCTCAGGGACGGCCACTCTCCCCGAGGCTGGGTGGTAGGTGCTGGAGACCCAGTCGGTAACAATGTGGCCCGACCCTTCTGGAGCGTATAACCTGAGTTGGAAGCACAAGGCATCTGTAAATGAAAAATAATTACAATGCCAAGCAGCATATGCCGAGTGCTAACTTAGCCATGAAGATGAGGCGAGGAAGGAGCCGTCTGCAAGCTTCCCCAAATTCCTTATTAACTTGCATTGCTCTCCCCCTCACCATTGGGCTCTTCTCACTCATCACTGGAGGGTTCCGCACCTTTAGGCAAAATATGTTTCTTAATTCCTTCAGCCCTCTTGCCCGTCTCCAGTCACAACAGACTGTCCTATGTGTGTTCCCAGTGAGTCACTGAAGCTGAATCACGTTAACAATAAGCGTGTAATGATTAATGCGTATCGATTGGCTGGGTGGGCTGGAATCAGAAATGTCCCGTCTAGACTAGTTGTTTTGTCGCTAATTACCTGCCACATGCACGTGTCTAAACTTGCCACAGACATTCCAGGGAACGCCCTTGGTGACTGTGACTCCAGTTGGAGCTCAAAAATCTCCTAAAGGCATCTTTACAACCAAGGCCACTCAAGGGCTCAGGTAGAGGGACGGGCGCCCCTCCCACCCCACCCCCACCCCTGTGGAGAACACAGAAACCCCGGTGGGAGACTCACTGAGGGGGAAGCTTCCTGGAAAAGGATTAAAAAGATGGGATTTCTCTTTGAAATAATGTACTGATGAGGATTGTATGCTGAACAAGGGACTAAAGCTCTGTGTTTTATTGAAATGGCCACCATTACCATGTTTAATCAACTATTTATGGAAACTGGAGTGATATGCCTTTCCAGTGAAGAGGAAAATGCTTACAAAAGTGTTTGTAAATTAGACAGATACAGCAGGAGGCTATCACATTGTGTTTGCTATGATGTTTTAACCGAAGTCGCTGTTCCGCGCCCCAGAAGAGAAGATGGAGGACACGTTCTGTGGTAGCATGGAATTCAGGATTTCTGCTGATTAACTTTGTCTGGATCTTTGAGAAAACCTCTGATGATCTTCTGCGTTTTTCTTTCTTTCCTCTTGGAACCATGAAAATGAAATAGACACAAATTCAGCCATCAGAAGAGCAAACAATCTAGTGAGTAAGGTAAACAGACATCCCATCAACACAAAGTGGGCAAAGAGGGCATCGGGTGGGGAACTTCCCAGAATGGGAGTCAAGTGTAGAATGTGATCATCTTCAATGCCCAAACTGAAATGCTGGAATCGGGGAATCCTTTTTTATTTATTAAAAAATTTTTTTTAAATGTTTATTTGTTTTTGAGAGAGAGAGACAGTGTGAGAGAGGAAAGGCAGAGAAAGAGGGAGGCACAGGATCTGAAACAGGCTCCAGGATATGAGCTGTCAGCACAGAGCCTGACACAGAGCTCGAACCCACAGAACATGAGATTGTGACCTGACTGAAGTCGGGCGCTTAATCGACTGTGCCACCCAGGCGCCCCAGGGAATCCTTTCTTAAAATAATACTTTTTTTTTTTTTTATCACAAGTTCATTGTAGGCAGTTTATAAAATAGAGAAAGGTCCAAATATGGAACTAAAAATTCTTCTAATATGGCCCAGTGAAAACCACTGTCAAATGTTGCTATATATCAGGGCACGTGGGTGGCTTAGTCGGTTAAGCATCCGACTTCAGCTCAGGTCATGATCTCACAGTTTGTAGGTTTGAGCCCTGCACTGGGCTCTGTGCTGACAGCTCAGAGCCTGGAGCCTGCTTTGGATTCTGTCTCTCTCTCTCTCTCTCTCTCTGTCCCTTCCCCCACCCACTTATACTCTGTCTCTCAAAAAAATGAATAAACATTAAAAAATTTTTTTTACATGTTGCTATATATCATTCTAGTCAGTTTTCTATGCATACCTAGGAATTTTAAAAAGACGGTAGAATCACATTGTAGATTGTTTTACAAACTGTTCATTTAACAATATGCTGTGGAATATACCATGATTATTTTCCCCTCACAATTTCATGTCCTCCTACTCCCAGATTTTTAATGGTTTTATAATCTTTCATCCTATGAATACACAGCATTTGATGGATCCACTCTCCGAGAGTAAGACATTAACATTGTTTTCAGTGTTTCACTAATATAACTGATGCTGTGATGAGCATCTTTGTGTATCTGTGCATCTTACTGAGTTTTTCCTCGGGATACATTCCCTAAAATGGAACTGCCAGATTGTAGGTAGGAAAATCCAAGCCCAGCCACGTGGCCGATACTACGATTGCAAAAGGCAAGCTGAGACATTGACCCCTGTATTTCAGCAACGTTTGTTTTTGCTTTATGATTTCCTTTATATTGTGTACACATTGATCCTGGAGATAAAAATGGTCAATCCGGGTCTGCCAGTAGAAAGCTCTCCTCCTAGATTTTTGGCTGTCATTTTATGACCACTAGCAACTTCACTCTGAATTTGGCTGACACGACTTGTTTTACCTGCCTTTAAAATGCATGAACAGACCCTCACCTACTTTACTTACAACTTGCTGTCTTCTGATTCCTTACTGCGTTATTACTTCCCAGGGTCAAAAATCACAGTTCTGGCTGATATGCAATCGCACACGAGAAGAAACAGTTGAGTTTGATAATACACCCACAGTGTCCAAAACAAAAGTTTGACCTCAGCTATATGCATGATGCATTAATTTTTAAAAGCTGTTACAACTTCCACTATAGCATTCCATGTTAGTGGTCATTTTTAGGGTAAAAACCTCACATTTGACTGTACGCTAAGAACACTGATATTTTTACAAACACCCTGGAAGATATGCACCTGAAATGAGGTGGCCAAAGGCACCTTACTCATATTGTTTCAGAGGTCGGCTTTCAGAATTGTCAGCTTATGAGAACGGTAAATAACTCTCTATTTCCACTTTCGGGTTTCAGGACCCTCGCTGGTTTTGTTCAGCCCTTCATTTCACTGCTTCAACATATTGTTTGTTCGGAGCGTGTGTTGTACCTGGAACGTGATCCAGCCGGTGTCTTCACAAGCTCGCAGTCTCATTCAGGAATGGGTAAGTCAAAAAACTTTTATAATACAGTATCCTAATGATTAGCATAGGGATAAATGTACTGTTGGGTCCCTTTCTATCTTCTTCACTTTCTCCTCTTTGCTCTGTTTCCTTTGAGTCTTCCATTCACTGCCTCAGTGTTTCTAGAGAAGATCTGGACTGGGGTCGGCATGGAGCACAAGACGGCGGCTGAGGGGTTCTGTAGGGCCAGCCAGAGCCCCGGAGATGAGGGAGCATGTGCCGTGGGGGCTCCCTGGTGCAGCCTTGCCCCATGCATTTGGGGACCCTGGGGCCAGAGCACAAATGGAGGCCACTTTCCATCTGTGGCAATCTATAAAAGGTATAAATCAAGTTAAAAAGCTCTTAACTAAAATATAATTTCAGATGGACAAAGCCGGAAAAATATGTGCGAAGCTATGGTTTTATATGGTACAGAGTTGGAAGACTCTAAAGCAGCTGGAATTGATTATTATTGTCCATATATGGATGTTCTGTTGATGGGCCAGCAATGTTTGGATAAGAATGAGAGGGTACTTATACCCCTGGGCACACCACTGGTTCTGCTGGTGATTGGGACTGGGGGCATGAAGGGGGACCTTTTACTTCTGAAGTTGGGTAACTTTTAAGAGACATGATGAGATGATGGGCGATTTTATTTTCTTTTTCTCTGCTTTTCCCTATTTTGCAAATTTCTAAAATAATCATATGTTGCTTATATAATTGGGGAACAAAACTAAAAGGAAAGAAAAGGCAAGACTAGAAAACCACTCTAGGATGGGAAAGCGTCTCACTGAGTTAAACTTCTAGAAAAAGGTGTGCTTCAGTTCTTAGGCCTATGCGATTTAAACCATTCACTGAAGGGAATCTCGTTTCTTCAAGAGAATTGGAGAGGCACCCAACTACCCAAAAATGGCCGCGAACCTGTATTTTTAAAGAAGAACGTGTGCATCTTTAGAACTTACTTCCTGACCTTTCTAGGCATATTATTTTTACAAACAATCTGTTTTTCAATGACTTCAGACATTTCAGAGTATGGATTATTTTCATAATGAGATATTGCATTTACTCGGCAACCTCAACTTTTCAAAGTGCTTCATGTCAATCCTCACACATTGGTCTTCTAATAACCGCAGGAGGCTGGAAAATGTTATCTCCCTTTTCCAGGAAGGAAAATGAGCCTCAGAGAACTGAGATTGAGTGCACATGTCACAACAGCTCCCGATGGGACACGGACAGAGTATAGTTCGCTTTCATCTGAGTCCCATTCTTGTGCCACTGACATTAGTAAACTTACACACTGGGTTTCTAAACGTGTACATATTTTTCAGACATTTTTGTAAATATTCCCACTGTTGTTTGTTTCTTCTTTTATTTTTTTTAATCTTACTTATTTTGAGAAAGAGAGGGGGGAGAGAGAGAGAGAGAGAGAGAGAGCACAAGTGAGGGAGGGACCGAGAGAGGGGGAGAGAGAGAATCCCAAGCTATCAGCGCAGAGCCTGACTTGGGGCTTGAACTCATGAAACTGTGAGATTATGACCTGAGCCGAAACCAAGGGGCGCACACTTAACTAACCGCCTGAGCTGCCCAGGTGCCCCTGTTTGCTTCTTTTAAAATAGAAGTTATCTTTAAAAGGCAGCTACAAGTTCTCAATAAGCTACTAAAGAATACTCAGCACCCTTCTAAGGCATGCCTGACTCCCTGTAAGTAATTCCATAAGTAAGGATCTTCATAGAAGCTGCTAATTAGCGCTAAGCACCTTTAGAGATGCCTTCCAGGGTATGTCCAAAGATGCACTGTGTGTGTGTATGTGTATGTGTTTGTGTGTCTGTGTTTCTGTGTGTGTGTGTGTGTGTGTGTGTGTGTGTGTCTCAGGCGGGGGGCAGGGGGGCAGGGAGGCGGTTATAATACTTTCCCCTCAGAGACTCAGCCGATTTTCTGTAATGATGAGAGACCAGAAGATTATTTTACTTAGTGCTTAAAATATACATAAGTACTAGGTTAGTATCATTACAGGATAAACAGTATCCCATTTACTGAATCTATTTCTTCAACTGGGATCATTTTGAAATGGCCAGTGGTTACCCATTTCTATGGGTAATAACGCTGCATTGCCTATTTGAAAGTCACTAAGGAAGTCGATCTTTAATGTCCTCATTATAAGAAACAGATTTTTTTTTGGTAACTATGTATGGTGATAGATGTCAACTGGACTTATTGTGGTGATTATTTTGCAATATAATGTCGATTCATTATATCTGCAATATGATATCTAATACAAATATCAAATCACTCTATTCTACTCACATTATGTTCTATGTCAGTTGTACCTTAATAAAAACAAAGCAATGCTTAGCTGCTTTTTTAAAGTTAATAAATCTATGGTGCTATAAAGACAGTTCATTTGATTTTTGTAATATATATTTTCACAAGTTAGTGTTTTATTAATTTCAGAATATAGTTCAAAATGTTTATAACTTAACTCATGGCTTACTTGTCATGGTTTACTGAGATGTATGTAAAAGTCTAAAGGACTCACTCCCACACCACACCACACGAACCAACAGCCGTAATTAACAAAGGCTGTTGGTCATGACAAGTAAAAAAGATTTTTTTTCACCAGAAAAAAAATTATGAAACCAAACCAAAAGTCTCAGGCAAATTTATTTTAATTTTATTTCAAATTCTTCAAGTAAATCTGGAACTTCAGGTAAAAGGCTGTCACTCAGTCAAAACACAACAAAACCAACGAACAAAACTAAGCCCTCGTTGTCCAGGATATGGAGATCCAATAATGAAGTCCCCATGTAAATGGAACCAGAGTTTTGCTGGGAAGAGACCTGTGTTTGATCGAACCAGCAGACCCTTCACAGAACTATTTTACAGCTAATAAAACAGAGCAATTTAGAGAATCGAGGATGTAATGTCAGCCTTGTAAAGAAGTCTCGGAAATCTTTAATAGTTGCATAGACAACCCTGGTTTTAAGGTTCAAAGATTCTTCTGTCCTGGAGGAATCCTGGGTCAGCAAAAACCAGTGCTCACTGGCACAGCTGCTTTGGGAGAGGGTGATGTGTGTTTCCAAGAGGAATGTAAAACCCAGCTCCCCACAGCAGATCACTGCTCAAGAGCCTTTAGCCTTTGGAGCTCAACTTATTGTCTCCTAGTGGCTCTCTAGCCCATGGACTGAAAGTTGATGGGTCCGAAGCAAGAGGAAAGCCATCAAGGAGGACAATTACTGCATAATTCCACTTGTATGAGGTATCTAAAATAGTCAAACCCAGGAGTGCCTAGGTGGCCCAGTAAGTTGAGCGTCTGATTTCAGCTCAGGTCATGATCTCGCCGTTCATGAGCTCGAGCCCCACAATGGGCTTGCTGCTGTTGGCATGGAGCCCACTTCAGATCCCCCATCTCCCTCTGTCTCTCTGCCCCATCCCTGCTCACACTCTCTATCAAAAGGAAACAGTTAAAAAAGTAAGAATAAATTGAAATAGTCCAACCTGGAGAAGCAGAGAGCAAAAGCAGAGAGCAAAAGCGTAACCGGTTGCTGGGGGTGAAGTGAAGGAGGAAATAAGGTGGCGATCCGTGGGTATCGAAGCTTCAGTAATGCAAGATGAATGGATTGTGGAGATCTGCCATATGACTCTGGGGCTAACGGTTAACCAGCCAGTATTGTCCACCTAAAAATCTGTTAAGAAGGTACGTCTCAGGTTGAGTATTCTTATCACAATAAAATTTAAAAAACCTTTTTTTTGAAAGGACTTGAGCACAAACCACAAAAATGGCAGGAAGACAAGTAATTAAAAGGATATAAAAAGAAAGTCCGAGGCAGGTAGCTCACACCACCAGGACAGTGCCTGAACATAGTGACTCCATTCCGAGAGCTGAAGTTGCTCAAGTCACCACGGTGATTTACAAGGTGGGGTGCTCCTCCAACAGGCAGACCTTTGCTTGCCTTTGTTTATAATGCCAGGCAAGGTACAGGGCATCCTGAGTTACTACCCAGAAACAGCCAACTTTACAGTCTAACCACACTCTTTCAGTCCCCAGTCCCCAGCCTCACACTGGGGCATTGTGTGGGCATTTGGAGGAAGAGTAAGATAATAGAGAAGATCTGGAGAACCTTCTGTTTTTATAACCTTACTAATGACTTTAACACTATTTCTTTGACCTTCCCTGCCAACGTGGACACCCCCCCTGGTGGAGAATATTCTGGGACATATATGGCTTTTCTGCTTTCTGTCTGAAGGGGGAATTGCATTTTAACTGTAACAGTATGATCATTGCTTCTGACAGATTGGAGATAAAAAAATCACTAAACATAAACACCAGACTTCTTCTCCCCAAGGGCAGAATTCAACAGTTACACAGGCACATACATTTTATTCCTATACATTCATTTTATTCATATCCTTATCATAATTATGTTGACACATTAATATAATTAATCTGCCCTGTTGGAGAAATTAGCAGACGTCTCACAGTCTTGGAAAAAGGAGGGCAGGCTTCTTCCATTCACTGATTCTGTGTCAGTTTCGGCCAGTAGCAAAATAATTATAGTAAAAAGCTCCAGCAGATCTTAGCATTTGCAGGGCAGGGTCATAATTGAACTAAAACTGTTAAGAAATATGAGAAGATCAGCTTTCCACTGCCCTTAGCATTTGTGTAACACGGGGGAAATATTAGTGAGTCTGTTATTTTAAGTGGGCGCCAGCCATTCAGAAAGCTAAAAGCAGCTATATCTAAGCCTTTTTAAGTTTTCTTAGTCATGGACTCATGTTCTGTCCTTTCGGTTGATGGCAACCTGACTTTGAGCCAAGCAAACAATAAGTGAGGAGCATAAACAAGACGGGTCCCTCTCACTTTTACAGTTGAGGTACATCCTTAACAAAATCTATGACTGTCTGGGGATTTATGTGCGCCACGTCTACGATCACCACATCGCAGCTGTTTAAAAATCTAGTAACGTCAGGAATTACTCTTCTGAGCAGGCTGTAAACCTTTGCAGAGTTATTTGGGCATAACCGATACAGTTTGCAGGGAGATTTAAACATGATTATAGCTCATAACTGTCAACAAGTAACACAAAGCCTCCTTCCCTTAATCAGAAAATCTGAACTTCAGGTGTTGAAATTGAGTGGGGAACGGCACCATCTGCTACCATCTCCTGACAACCCAGAACCCCCTCTGAGGATCAGCAGCCTTCCAGCACTCTTCGCTCCCGTGTTCTGGAATTTCCAGGAAGCTGGCTGCCCACACTTAATGGGGAGGTGAAGTTGGGATGTCTGGGAGGCCAGCGTGCACCTGTCAGCTCTCAAAGCCAATCAGAGACGTCCCATCGGGTCAGGAGGTCCTGGCAGCAAGGCAGCCCGATGGGGGTCCCAGGGTGGCTTGGTGGGAGGGGCTTCATTCTCCTCCCCTAGCGCCCCAATGATGTTAATAAGCATTGGGATGTATCCCACAGCTCTCACCGGATTGTGTCTCATTGGCCCCGTGTCACAAAGGCACATTGTGGTTCAGGGTAAACGTGGACTTGTGTAAAGTTATTGGCAGATGTCCCAAACCTTGACCTCCACCTAGAATTTCCTAATGCCATAAGGTAATAGAATAAGCCAGGTCTGAGCAGAATGGTATGTATGTGTATTAGGCTAAATCTATTTTTAAATTACTAATCCATTTGAGCTATGCGGCTCACATTACAGAGGATGGAGGATTTAGTGTTGCGTATGTAGAGACACAAGAAAATTTGTTATGTAAATGAACCCTAAGTACATAGTGCTTACACGGTGGTGAATTCAGGGCTCACCGGCCCTCACAGAGCTCCAGGGCTAGTGAGGGAGAAGAAATGAGGCAGTTCTAAAGAATTCTTTGACAGGAAACAAAAACAAAACTAAAAACCTTCCCCTGAGCTGGAAGACCAGACCGCAGGGACACCCAGCTCTGCACTTCCGGGAGAAAAGTCCTATCAGAAGGCTGTGGAGGTGCTAGCTGTTGGGGTGGCTGAGGGGAAGGGAGAATATTGAGGTCAGGGAGCCCTTGCTTGGAGGCGGGACCTCAGTCGTGAGGGCCTCCCGAGGTCTCACTGGGAGTTTTGGGGTTTAACGTTAAGAATGATGGGAGCCATTGAAGGTGTGAAGCAGGCGTGTGATATGATCCTATCTGGATTTTAGAAAGTCATTCTCCATTTTGAACTTATTTCATATCCATACTCATATGGACACTCTCTACTTAACAGTTTGCAAATGATGAGGGCTACAGCTGGATGCATTATTGTCATTTTCTAATACAGGAGTATAATATTGGCATTATTATGTAAGGCATGTTGCTTTGTTTTAAATGACCATGCTGCATATCAAATAATAATAATTATAAATAACCTTATTAAATTCCTATTTAAACATATATTTGATTCTTTAAATAGAATTATTAGTTATGTAATTATTTAAATATAAATTCACCTTATATATTGGTTATTTAAATAGAAATATTATCAGTTATTATTTAAAACCATAGTGATAATAATATAATAATAATTCTTATTGTTATAAATAACAATAATTTATTACAAGCTCTTAGCATGCCAGAAACTAAGCTTTTGATACATTTTATAATGGAATTCCTTTGAAAAGCAATTTTTGCCAGCATGATTGGGTGAGTGAGTGACAGGTGTACAGCTTTGTACTTACCGACCAGGCCACTGGAGACCAGACCTGTAAGCCCGTCTGCCTGTGTGTAGGCAGCGGACACCAGTGTAGCCTCTTGCTGAAGGTGTGTGAGCCACATTCCAGCCCAGAGGTTTAAGGAACTTTAAATGAAGTCCTATTAGTGTTCCCATTTTATGGATGAGGGTGTTGAGGGTTAGACTTAAATCACTAGCATAGGTCATCGGAGAAGCAAAGAGCGGGGGCAAAATCACCATGCTGCCCATTAAAGGAACTTCAAATCCAAGCTAACTCATTGGAGGGAATGATAATTAGAAACGTGGACTTAGTGACATTGGAATATCTTCATTTTAATGAAGGGCCTTGCGGAAAAGGTGAACTGAAACTACAAAGAAGGTGACGAGACTCGCTTTGTATCAGGGATGGAAGGTTGTGAACGGCTTCCCCAATACCCCTGGACTGGGAACGGAATCGGACTGTTTGGCTAGTGGCATATCTGACCTATGTAACAATATAACAAGCATAACTGGAATTTTATCCCAGTGAAATAATGGAAGTGGCTCCTCTCCCCAGTATATTGTACCAGCCATAATTATGTTTTCCTAGTGCGTGTCCCTATCTGGGAGATTGCATATCACCTTCCTAACCACACGTGTGATGAGTGCTTTAGCGGAAGATAACATTATGCTCTTGTTAATTGCCTGCTTATCTGGGCTGACATTTCCAAACCCACACAGAAAGCCCATAACTTTGTGCTCAAGAATATTTTAGTCCCGCTAAATGAGCATCTAACTGTTGACATCCTAAATAAAAGGGTTGACTCACACGTTACCCTGAAGCCAGAGCTGTGTTCTTAGATGGTGTCACCTTACAGAGCTCCCGGTGTCCTTAAAAAAGAGTCTGCCTCCTCCTGGACTCCCATGAACTTCTCTCCATCCTTTCCGTCTGCAAGCTGGAGGCATGCTAAATGGTAACAACAGAAAATGAGACGTTGTCATGTGGGAAAACGAAGCAAGATAGGCTAAAGAAAGCAGAGAACTTCCTCGAGAATAATTGGATTGAGCGTCTTATTCATAGAACAGACTTGAAGCGGAGGGGAAGACAAATTGATTTCTGTGGGGCTTACTGCCTGGGCCTGCAGAAAGGAAGCCTTCTTCATGCCTCTGCAGCGACTGGGATATGGATCCCCAGGCCAGGCTGGTCCCTCAGCCTCTCTCTCCCCTCTTTAGCTCTGGTTGTAGCACAGGCCGCAAATAAATTGCTAACATTTAAGTGCATCTGTTGCAAAGACAGAAGCACAGAGGACACTGGGGAAATTTCAAACCGAATTTCAGGACTGAGCTCATAAAAGCATGCACCATCTGTGGAATTTTGCTCATATGCATCCCCATAATGGAGGGGGCAATGCAGAAGCAAAAACAAGAGAAAGGGTTGTAGTAACTGCATTGAAAACTCCAAGTCTCTAGGCTCAGATCAGTTCCCAGGTGGCGCTTGGACCAGGCAGGATCTCCGTGCCTTTCCTCACACCGAGCCCTCTGGCCCCTGGGGACTTAACTGCTTGAATAGGCAGGTTACGTGGATTTCATCCTGCCCCTGTGTCTACACACAGCCTCCTCCCCGCCCTTTTCCTGGCCCTGCGCAAATATTCAAGCCTTTCCATCTTTCTTCCTGCTGGTTTGCTTGAGGCTGGGACCAGAGTCTCGGCTCTTTCTCCCTTATCATCCCCGTGGCAAAACTGAAACAAAAACAAAAACAACCCCCCCCCCCAGATCATTTTCTGATAAGCACTTTACATTTCTATGGTGCAGGAAAAGGGAAGTTCCTTCAGAATCCCTTTATAGATGATCGCTCTCATTGTCTAACAAGCTTTTCATTGTTTGTGATTTCCATTTTCCTGAGCAGTTCAGGGCACTTTGGAAAAATTTTTCTATTCAGCACTTTTCCACTCATAATTCACGAAAAAAAGAGTCATGCAGTATAATAAAGATAATTAGCTCCGACTGAAAATTATAAGCTTGGCAACACAGAGCCCCTCCACCGCACACAGTATCCATTTATCGTTTTGTGTATTCTCTGTCAAGGCTAATCGCTACTTCTGTAATTACTAACCTGTTGAAAGAACAAAGGAAAATGCAACGCAGTACTTCAATAAGTAACACTGTTTCTTCCAATACCATCTCAATAAAACTCTTCTGGAACAGAATCTGTCTTTCCCATCTTCCAGTAAAAAAAACTGCTCTTGTGTGGCCGCAAAAGTATGATCAGCTATTACAGGAATGACTTTCAGTGCGTATGTATGGAAGTGGGGCTTGAATTTCTTTCATTGAGATTCTTGTAAAATAAAGATGGCTCAGAGTGACGATCTCATGCTTAATAAGGTTCAACATTTATGCAGCACGGTTCCTCTTTATTAATTTGTTAACCTTGGCGCAGTGTGGGAACGAGCACTGTGTAAATGACCATATGCTTCCTCTGTTAATGCGTCTTAATCCAGACCGGCAGACACTTGTCCTCTCCCTCGGAGAAGCGATATTGCAGATTATGCCAAACCAAAGTGGAGAAATACAGAGACAAATATAGTTCTGTCTCTTTTCCAGGGGTGCTGCACATTGGGAAGTTTTTAAAGCACAGGTTCTAATTTTCATTCATTTCATCCCTCATTTACTTGCTTATCCCTCTTGATTCCGCTCATGATTCTTGTCCCTTCTACACCTGCTGTGGACCTAAGACTACCAGGAAATAATGCACGCTCTTTTGAACCATGCATGAAATGAACAAAGAGGGGTGTAGATTCTGGCTTTTCAAGATAGTCGAGGCTGCTGTCACCAGCCTCCCTCCAGAGAGAAATCTGGGACCTCAGAAATAGGTGTCCATAGGAAGAAGTGCCTATGCTGGACACACATAGTCAGATGCATGTATTCTTCAATCCAAATGGTGTTCCTCTCTTCATCTCTTAGCAAGAGATAAAAATGAGCAATGTTGTAAATGAGATCACTGGGACATTGTCATTAATCTGTGAAGAATTAGAGGGAAAGAGGGATGTTCAAAAACTGAGAAGCCATTCTGATTTCCAGAAAAGGAATGAAAGTGGATTCTGGCCAAGATGTTAGGAGAGATTATTTACAGAAGAAGCTGTGATCAACAGGAACTAGCTCTGATTCACTAGGAACAAATCACATCAAAGACAATTGATTTCTGTCATTGATAATGTTTTAAGCTTGCAGATAAGGAAATAAGCTACATTTTGGACATTCTTTCTTAGTCTGTATTTGGACCTTCACAAAATCACTCATCATAATCTTGTTGAGGAATTGGCAGATTATTAGCTGAATATTATTAGTATTAGCCATTATTATTCATATTACAATCAAGCTAGGAAAACTGAATGTGTTTAGAGAGAAGAAAACAAAGCAGTGCAGAATTAGGCAATATATCTACAAGAAACTGTAGGGAAAAACAATTTTTTTGGCAGAAAAGGAAATGGCTTTATTTTTTTTTTAATTTTATTTTAGAGACAGAGAGAGTATGTGAACAGGGGAGAAAGGCAGATGGAAAGAGAGAGAATCTTTGATCCCACGACCCTGGGATCCTGACCTGAACTGAAACCAAGAGTTGGACACTCCACCAACTGAGACACCCAGGTGCCCTGGAAATGTCTTTAAATATGTATATAATTATTATGCAGAACAGTGATTAGAATTCTGTTGAGTAGCACTTGGACCACATTGGGACTCATGTTCTAGTTCAATCATTGGAGCCATCCAAAGTTAGAACAGGGTTTCTCAGAAGGTCCAGTGAATACTCCATTATTGCACAAGCCATAATGACCACAGGGATAATCAAGGCAAATGACCTTGGCAGTGGCTACTTTACAATAGATTAGAATCATACAGTCTACATCACCTTTACATATCAACTGCTCTCAAATCCTTTCTAGGCAAGCCAAAGCCTGAAGCTGTGTCCTTGTCAGAATTTAAGGACAAGGGATTGAGCACGTGCTGTACGGGTCTAGCCTAGGACTTCTGGGAGTGATTCAGAAAGGAGCTGGACACTACGTTTTGGATGAAGGCCATGTTGGGAAGTTCCAAAGAACTTTGGAAAAGATCATGTTGAAAGGGGAGGGGGAGGACCTCATCAGAAGCAGACTCTGCACCTGGGTTTGCGGAGGGGTGGGGGGCGGGGGGGAGGGGGAGGTACAAGCTAGTGGATTGCAGGGCGAGACACAAGTCTACAGCAACCTCTGTGAACGGGAGGACTTGAGGGGGGCCTTCCTAGACTTGTCTTGTCACTGGCAGACAGCTCTTCAGGACCCAGAGACAGTTCCAAAATTATCACATGTTATCCTCATGGCTATGTTTCTGGGTGGACAGGGAACGCACCTGTGGCCTCATGTTTTCAGAATAAGAACCTCAGAATGGAGCTCAGGGAGAGGATGTAAAGCTTCCCAAGCCACACAGCAAGGGTAAGGCAGAGTGAGGCATGCCACATGGGTCTCCTGACTTCAGTGGACAGCATCAGGCTGAGGCAGATGTGAGAACACAGATAGCAGACCAAGAATTAGAGAAAAATGTATCTTATCTCCGGGGCACCCTCTTGTCCTGAGTTCTAGAATTTCTGCAGCTCCAGGTAACTGTAAAACTTTAGAGGTCTTCCTCTGGATCTACCCATCGGCCTACACATCCGATATGGTTTTGAGGTAGAGCTCACGCAATCAGTTCTTTTTCTGGATTCTTTCTTAACATCATATCAGATGGACGTTCATTTGCCCCTGTTTATAATTACAGACTAAAGGAAATTGTCCTAGCTTTTGAGGAGTTGGACATTTGCAGCTACTCATTTGCAATTAGACAGCTTACAGCTATCAGTCTAAAAGTAAGCTGATGAGGTCTTTATTAGTCTGTAACCAGATCCCCAAATGGAGGCTGGGCCTGAGTGTTTGAGAGGATCTGGGCTTACTAAATCTCCTGGGCACCACTGTCATTATTTTGGAAAGAAAACTCTCCCTCACACTTACATTTACATCTTTAAAAGTAAACAGTTTGCTGAATCATTTATTGAAGTTAATCAAATATTACCATTAAGAAGCCAGCTCTTGTCCTTCTAAAAAGGATTTTTTCTAAACTGGTAAAGACAGAGCTACATAATAATAGATTAACAAAAAGATATGAATATGTAAAGAAGGCAGACTAATCACTCTGAGGCATAAATTATTTCAAAGAAAAACCAAATTACAGTTCTTGATAATGAGAAGAGCATTTCTGACTTTGCAACCATTCTAAGTGGGGCATTGTGGTCTTCGGAACATGAGTCTTAGCTTTCCAAAGACTGTTGAGGCTTGCATTGAGTTATGGAAATGAGAAAGGATTTATTGGCAGAGTTTTCTTCTCACCTTAGTTGAGCATTTCGTGAGCTGTCAGAGGGGTAAGGAGGCTCTAAATCCTAATTCCTGGGACCTTTGTTGTGCCTGTTTTATGGGGGAGTTAGGAAGTCTTGGAAGACTCTTGTCTAAACTGTCTAGTATGGGTAATTATGTACAGAGGAAGGTAATTCTGAAAACCTTGTGGAACAAACAAAATGGAAAAGTTCAGTTAAAACAAGACTGTTAGGAACATAAAGTGGAACTTCCCTTTTATCTCCTTCACTCTGCCTCTAAATGTCTTTTTCTTCCTTTTCCATTAATCCTCCTCAATAGACATGTTCTTTCTCAATTTCCAGTTATCAAATAGATAGCTCATTGCCCCATATTGCACTGTCTAATTGATGGAATTATGGGATTATCTCATTATTTTATATGACCTAATGTGGGAGATATAAAAGTATTTTAGATACACTCCTCATCTAGTTAAGAAGAGTGTCCCTGTGTAAAGGTAGAGCCAAAGAGACGAAGATAATTCAATGCCAGACAATGGTAAGTTCCTGGCAGTTGGTACAGATCATTAGAGCTGTATAAATTCAAAAAAAGA